GTAGGTGTGTGTGGTACAGTGTGTGCGTAGATGCAGCGGACAGACAGGTCTCAGTTGGTTTGGTGTCCTCTGCTTACTTTTAATACTTGTAAATAAAACTTTTGGCCCGTAATTTATTTTCCTCATTGTAGCGACCAGAGAGGGGAGAGGGGGGGGGGGGGGGGGGGGGGGGGGGGGGGGGGATATATCCAGTCTCTGATAGTGTTACGTTATTATGAGAGTGCTCTGTTTGATTCTGAAATTGTATTCATTTATATAAATATATATATAAATATATATATATGTGTGTGTGTGTGTGTGTGTGTGTGTGTGTGTGTATGTGTGTGTGTGTGTCCGCATCTGTAGCCTGTTATTGTCTCATTATACCGCACTGTGAATGAATGAAAGTAAATATATAAGTCGTCATGAACACATCTGTCCATCAGACAGAGGGCTGCTGTGCCTCCTGTCATCATTAATGGACGTCTCTTTAAAATGACCACTCAGAGGAGAGGAGTTCTCATTTCTCTAACCGCCTGCTGCTTCCCCTCCTCTCTCCTCGGTTCCCCTCCTCGACTCCTCCGCTTGCATCTCCTGTGGGCGGGACTAAGTCTCGAGGATAGGAGTCGAGGAGGGGAGTCGAGGAGGGACATTTGATGACATGAGAACGGGCCATAGTGTGTCTGATTGTCTGATTGTGTTCACCTGTTGCCCTTGTGTTTCTGCCTCCCTTACCCCAGCTGTGTCTTGTCTTGTGATTACCCCTCTCTGTATTTAGTCTTGTCTTCCCCTGTGTGCCTGGTCGGTTCATTGTTTGTTTTTCCTGTCTCCCTCCATGTTGGTCACGATCGTTTTTGGTATTGTATCTTCCTCGTGTTACCTATGTGTTTCATGCCATGTTATTTACGTTCATCAGCTTTTTTATTAAAGCTCACTTTTGTTTTGAAACCCGCTTCCCTTTTAATCTGCATTTGGGTCCTACCTTTTGCCGAACCCTAACAGAATGAACCGACCCAGCGGATTATGATTTTGATTTTGATTTGCTTTCTCTGGATTACTCCCTTCGATGTCTTTATGCTGAGTGGAGTAGAACCTCGACTAGAAGGGAGAAAGAGGCTGTCCTCAAAAAAGCACAAATGGAGGTGGATAACGTGCCATGGCTGAGGAGCTCGTTGCCTGAATTTCTCAGAGTTTTTTTTGGGTAGCCCTGAGTGCCAGTCTCCATTCTCTGACCCTTTTTTGGGATCCCGCCTGGCGTTTGGAGGTCCACGGAGCCTCCAAAAGACCTCAAAGAAACGCAAGGTCAGGAAGCCAGCTCGTAATCCAGTCCCGGCCCACACAGCCATGGATCCGTGCACCAGTACCGGCCCACACAGCCATGCTTCCGTGCTCTATTACCTGGCTCACACAGCCAGGGTCCAGGCTTCTGTTCCGAGCCCAGCAGCCATGGTCACTGCTCCAGAACCGGACCTTACAGTCATGTTTCCGTGCTCCAGTGCCGGCCCACACAGTCATGGTACCGTGCTCCAGTACCATCCCACACAGCCATGGTTCCGTGTTCCGGTTCCGTGCCCAGCAGCCATGGTGCCTGCTCCAGTACCGGCCCACATAGTCATGGTTCCGGCTCCAGAACCGGCCCACACAGCCATGGTTCCGGCCCCAGTTCTGGCCCCAGCAGCCATGGTTCCGGCCCCAGTTCTGGCCCCAGCAGCCATAGTTCCGGCCCCAGTTCCGGCCCCAGCAGCCATGGTTCCGGCTTCAGTTTCGGCTCCAGTACTGGCTCCCCGGCCGACGCCAGCCCCCCGTGTTTTGTCAGTGGTTCGGCCCACTCCAGCCCCTCGTGTCCTGTTGGCTCTCCGGCCGACGCCAGCCCCCCGTGTCCTGTTGGCTCTACGGCCGACGCCTACCCCATGTCCTGTACCGTTGGAGGTCCCCCCGACTACTCTTCTGCCGGGGGTCCTGCCAACCCTATGTCCTGTGCCGTTGGAGGTCCCACCGACTACTCTTCTGCCGGGGTTCTTGCCAACCCTATGTCCTGTCCCGTTGGAGGTCCCGCCGACTACTCTTCTGCCGGGGGTCCTGCCAACCCTATGTCCTGTGCCGTTGGAGGTCCCGCCGACTACTCTCCTGCCGGGGGTCTTGCCAACTCCATGTCCTGTCCCGTTGGGGGTCCCGCCGACTACTCTTCTGCCGGGGGTCCTGCCAACCCTATGTCCTGTGCTGTTGGAGGTCCCGCCGACTACTCTCTTGCCGGGGGTCTTGCCATCTCCATGTCCTGTCCCATTGGGGGTTCCGCCGACTACTCTTCTGCCGGGGGTCTTGCCAATCCTATGTCCTGTCCCGTTGGGGGTCCCGCCGACTACTCTTCTGCCGGGGGTCCTGCCAACCCTATGTCCTGTGCTGTTGGAGGTCCCGCCGACTACTCTCCTGCCGGGGGTCTTGCCAACTCCATGTCCTGTCCCATTGGGGGTCCCGCCGACTACTCTTCTGCCGGGGGTCTTGCCAACCCTATGTCCTGTGCCGTTGGGGGTTCCGCTGAGGGTCCTGCCAACTCCACGTCCAGTATCGTTGGGGGTCCTGCCGACACCTGTTCCGCTGTGGGTCCTGCCAACCCCATGTCCTGTCCCGTTGGGGGTCCCGCCGACTACTGCTCCGCCGGGTTTCCTGCCAACACCAGATCCTGTCCTGTTGGGGGTCCCGCCGACACCTGCTCCGCCAGATTTCCTGCCTACACCATATCCTGTCCTGTTGGGGGTCCCGCCGACACCTGTCCCGCCGGGGGTCCTGCCAGCTCCATGTTCTGTTCTGTTGGGGGTCCCGCCGACACCTGTCCCGCCGGGGGTCCTGCCAACTCTGTGTCCTGTCCTGTTGGAGGTCCCGCCGACACCTGTTCCACCGGGGGTCCTGCCAACTGTGTGTCCTGTTCCGTTGGAGGTCCAGTCGACACCAGCCCTTGCTCCATCCGGGGTCCCATTGGCACCGGCCCATGTCATGTTCGGGGTCCCGTCTGCGCCTGTCCCGTCGGCTCCGGTTCCTGTCCGGCCGATGCTGGCTCCTGCCCGTCCTCCGGAGTTGTCCCGTCAGCGCCTTCCTGCCCGGCCTCCGGAGCTGTCCCGTCGGCGCCTTCCTGCCCGTCCTCCGGGGCTGTCCCGTCGGCGCCTTCCTACCCGGCCTCCGGAGCTGTCCCGTCGGCGCCTTCCTGCCCGTCCTCCGGAGTTGTCCCGTCGGCGCCTTCCTGCCCGGTCTCCGGAGCTGTCCCGTCGGCGCCTTCCTGTCCGTCCTCCGGAGCTGTCCCGTCGCCGCCTTCTTGTTCGCCCTCGAGCCCGGCCCCCTGAGTGCCGCGGTCTTCGCCCTCGAGCCCGGCCTCCTGAGTTCCCCAGCCGCGGTCTTCGCCCTCGAGCCCAGCCCCCTGACTCTTCCAGCCGCTGCCTTCGCCCTCGAGCCCGGCCCCTTGAGTTCCCCAGCTGTGGTCTTCGCCCTCGAGCCCGGCCTCTGGACTCTTCCAGCCGCTGCCTTCGCTCTCATGCCCGGGCCCATGAGTTCGCCCGCTGTGGCCTTCGCCCCTTTTTGGACTCTGCCTTGCCCCCGGGCCGTCCGCCCGGGACCCCTTCCGGGCCCGTCCTCCCGGGACCCCTTCCGGGCCCGTCCTCCCGGGACCCCTTCCGGGCCCGTCCTCCGGACCCCCTCCACCCACCCTTTTGGCCCTGGGTGAAAACATTTTCACCCAAATCACCTCAGAGGTGGGGTGGTTTTGGCTAAACCTCTAGAAAGGTCAAATGTCACTTGTCACTTTGCATCAATCTTGATACAGGGTACTTATTATATGTTGTACTTTGGATTCCTAAAGCTTTTAGTCTACTAACCCATCATCCAAGGGTAGTTTTAACTATCTGTAAAAAATAATCTTTGGACGGACACTATAATTTACAGTTTTTTACTATTTAAAATCTGAATTTTCTTTAAAATAAAAAACATTTATATTGATTCTGACACTTCTACATCCAACTCACAGATGTAACCTTGCTTTGATAAAATAAATTATTCATATAACCCTTTTAGAAGTTAGGTTGTAGTCATTTGTTTTGGGCATGTCATTTTCGAGCCTGAAACATGAAAAACAGGCTTGGTGCTTAACAGGTTAAATGTTCTTGTTTATTTGTGAGATGCAGTGGCACAAAGAAAATGCCTGCTTTGTTTGGTAGTACTAGTTCTTGTTCCAGTCTGTTACTGTCACTTTGTTTTTGACACTTTAAAATACTACTATCCTACAAAAATGCTGTACAAATCAGATTTATTATTTAATAAAGAACATTTTTTCAAGTAAAAAATGGTTAAATTTCAAAATCATTTAAAAAAAAAAATAATCTTTACATCTTTTTTTCAATATCGATATTATCGTACCGTGAGTTTTTGGTATCGTTACATCCCTAGTAAGTACTTAACCACTTCCGGTTCTCTCGTCTTAAAGTCAGTGGTCAATGGCTTTTAGTGAGAGGCCTTAATTAATTAAATAAAATATGTCAGTAAATGCAGCACTTGAGAACGACTGCAATGATAACTGACTAAATGAGACTACTCAACGTCATCATGCCAAACACGAGTGAGCCTTGAGTAAAGCGGTGGTGACGCCCAGCCATGCGAATGTAGTGCAGTTAGTTTATCACCTAATATAAGCTTTTTACTTCTGCTCATTGCATTTATGCCTCAAAAATAATAGAAAAAATGATATACATGATGTAAAGATTATCTTGCTGAACAGAACTTTCAATTATCATAAACAGATCCTATTTTCAAAAATACTCCAAAATCAAATGGAAAAATACAATTATTTTTTTTGTTGAGGGATCCCTTGCCCTGCTACCTTCTGGGTCGGCCCACAAAACTGACATCTCTGCACCACTCTATTCTCCTTTGTAAGAGGGGTTAAACATGTGCAGTATGTTCATAAATCTGAGCTGTATCTGTATGTGTGAGCAGAGCAGCAGGTTCAATTGCTTATCAGTTTGGTATCTCTTGTGAAAATTCAATTATTTATTAGGAAAAAAGCAACACACAATTATCTTTACATAGCATTGACACAGACAGTACACAGATTTGGAAAATGTAAATGTACAGACTTGAAACTGTATGATGCAAGTTGTTGTTCACAACTTTGATAACTCACAATGAAACAAATATGTATCCCTACAGTGTACAGTATGTCTATCTACACAAGCTTACAGTAGCTTTTATATTACTTTTGTGTCATGAAGATTACTTATGTGTGCAAAACATATACATACAGTACAATCCATTATATTAATTGAATTCATGACATTAGGGGCTAGTACCTTTCTTGAACAGAATGAAAATAAATATTGCATCTGCAAAGATTAGCAAATCCAGTATTACACCATCAAGCCAACCCAAGAGCCCGGGCATCAGTGTAGATACATTCTTCTTTCATTGCTTTTGCACCCCCAGTCCCTTTGCTAGATTTCCTTCTGATGAAGGTTGGTGCAGAATAAATCAACGAGTCATCTGTCTGTGAAAATATAGAGAGAAATGTTATGAGACAACATTTTTAGAAGAAAAACTATGCTAACAACTTTACAGGCTTGTCTTTTACTCTACCCGCTGACCTCGCTGATTTTGACCCGCTGTTGTTTCATTTGTATGCAGAGTAACAGCAGCTGTATTATAATGACACATTCAAAAAATCCATTCATGTAGGGCAGCTCTTGCCAAATATGTTTGATATATATTTGTATCAGTGAATGTACTTACTGTTGCAAACACCACAATATTTCCCCTGGAGTTTCTTGATTGCATAAATGAGAAAGCCATTAACAATCACACATATTGCCAAAGCAGCACCTAACAGAGATATGATGGTATTCTTCTGCTGCTGATTCAACATGAAGTCTGCTGACACAATGTGGGGAAAAAAGCAGATAATGAACATTAACATTTGGCGTGATTATGTTCTGGACCATTACTTGACCTTAATCAATCTCATATGCTACATTACTAATTACAGTTAAACATGATGCAGTTACCTGTAGTGTTGAGTTCTGATCCATTTCCAGAAATGATGTCCTCACATGTGGCCACATCGCAGTGACATGTCAAAGCCTTTTATTTTTATTGTCATTGTACACAGAGTACAACGACAATAAATCTTATAGAAGCTGTAGAGACATTTCTTTTTTGAGGGTCCACCTGGTTCCTTTTCATGTACTTCAACAACGTTTCCTTGAGTATTATTAAAACTTTGATTAAAAGCCTTGAAACAGCACATATTTTGTTCTTCTGGTCGTGTTTCGTTCTTTGAGTTGGAGAGTATTGAACACTGCAGAGTCACAGAGTCTCCAGGACGGACTGGATCAGTTGGAGAAACTGCAGCGCTTTCAGGTTCTGGGAAATGTAGTTTCAGTTAGATAGAAATACGATCATGATTTTTAAAATAAAGCTGCAATCAGTATTAGGTAAATAAATTAGCATTCAAGTAAATGTATTATTACTTCATATTTATACTGACTCAAATACAAATTCCTTGAGTGAGATTACAAGTATCTCATTAAAGATACTTCCTTAGATGCAATTTATTGTTTCACTGGCTCTCTTATTTCTTGCTGTCATTCAATCAGTGTCGTCAATTTGAGCTCAAGTTCACATAAAGATTAATTATAGTTAAATAAGTAATAGTAGTTCAAAATGTGTCCCCCAATGTTGCAGAATAGAAGTGCATACATTTCTTTGCAAATCTACTTAAGAGTAAAAATGATACTGACAATAAACAATTTTTACATTTTAGTTGTTTATATGGAAAAAGAAACTAAAGTACATGAAACAGGAATTGTAATGCGTTACTAACTAACTGGCTGTAATGAAATAAGAAGTGTATTTACCTTTAACTCTTAGGTCAGTTTGTGTCAAGAATATGATGTTCTGTTTGCTTATTTGAATACGGTAGTAGACCGCAGCATCACTTAGCTTTGCTTCTTGAATATGTAGAACAAATAGTTCACGCTCTTCTGTAGCTGTGATGCGATCATTACTCTTAAGGCTAAATGTCTTTCCTAAGACTTCAGGAAAGTCTCCAGAATCAATCCTGATCCAAAACAAGCTTCCCGAAGACTTGCGGGGACATGTCAGCTCCACAGAAACTCCAACACCAACAGTCTTTGTCTCAAAGTTGTTGTTTTTTGTGCATCCTGAAAAGACATTTTACATTAACCACAGAGAAAAAATGAGCTCTCTCAATTATTGTAAACATGGACACACATATCTGAAAATCAATAGGACATTTTACATGTACTTACGTCCCACTGCCAGCATCAGCAGTAAATAAAATACGATCCTCATTTTCTGTTTATTCCACTTGAGACTGGTGCAATTTTGACACGCATTAAAAAAAATTCACTATAATGTCATCATATCAAGTGGGAGGTAACAGTTCAGAGCAATCTCATTGGTCTCCTAAGTCGCCTTTTAGCACCACAGCGGAAATATAATGAACCATCAACTGCCTTGTGCAGCCTGAACACATGAAACAAAACCAACAGCCCACTTTTCATGTTGGGTTTCTATTGCTGACACAGAGTTAAAACAGTAAATGATCTGATGTTATTGTGAAATACAATTATAAACAAACAGAAAAACCAAAGAGACAATATCACACAATACATTTTCTGTTCCATATATTTTGTATTTATGTGTTGCGTGGCCTTATTACCAGAAATCCTCAACTAGATAGCAAGCAGTAATATGTTTGTAATTCATGGCCTGTTGTATTTTCTGAACATTGTTTTAAAGTATTCGAGATTTTAAGATTTTGCAAATGTTTCTACACACTAATCGAAAAATGTGCATAATAAACAGGTTGACTGAAAGGCACATAGTCCTCAGATACGCAGTTCATTTAAAAATATGAATCATAACAATAGGACTTAAATTGATCAGTTTGATTAATCTACATTTAGAAAGTATTTGTTAGACTATTACACAAAAATGGAGAAGCTGTCTTATGCAGAATATAATGGACTCCTAGTGATAACCTGCCCACTCTGCCTGTCAGTCACCTGTTGCAAACATAGCAGACAGAGGAGAGCTCTTACCACATGGTATCACCTTTATACATAGTGGAGAGAAAGGCAAGAACAGCGCACCACTTTATTAAAGATCCTTAAGTGTTTTTAAATGAATAACAGGAACACCGATTTCAGTCAAACTCTGGCATTAGAAGTATTAATAAAACTGAGACCCCCATCATCCCAGCCACAAACTGTTCTGTCTGCTGCCGTCTGACAGGCGGTGACGCAGCATCAAGTCTAAAACCAGACTAAGAGACAGTTTCATCCCACAGGCCATAAGACTGCTTAATGCCTGAGCTCTGTTAAGTGCCTCCATAACCTAAAGCATGCATCTCTCTGCATCTTACAATTGATTTATCTTAATGTTAATCACAATAAACAGTATTTTATCTTTTCACTAAAATATTATATCTTACATGTGTATAGACTCCTGCATTTACTTTGTCACTTATAACATTCTCTGCATTATTCATTTATTCATTGTTTATTGCTTTATTTAATTCTGACATGTATATAGTTTACGTCATATGCATTACTTGCCCATTGGTCTTGCAACATAATCTGCACTATTCTACTGTTTCTTGTTGCACTTACTTAGTTTTTATCGTTTAATGTTCTATATATATATATTATGTTGCATTGTTGGTTGAGCTTGGGATTTAAGTTTTTCATTGCCATATCTACAATGGAGCATTGTAGATATGGCAATGAAAAACGTACACTATATCTGTTTTCTTGTCTTTTTTATTACTGCCGATTTTTTATTCATATTTTATTCCTTTTTTCATTCCATTCCATTGCAATAATGACAATGTAAATACTGTTATATTTTACTGTATTTTTATTATATTATTTATTATTTTTAATATTTTTTCTAGTTCCCTACCTGTGTTTTAATTCATGTTTTATTTTTATTTGTATGTACGCACCATGACGTCAAGTCAAATTCCTCGTATCTGTAAACCTACCTGGTAATAAACCTGATTCTGTTTAGAAGAAGCCTCAAAGCATACCTTACCTTGGGATCCTCAGCCTTTTTTGAAATATTCAAATTTTACAGAGCAATGCTGTTGCTTCTAACAAGTGAACTCATATGCTTTGTACCATCTACATTTTTCTTTGTGTGCACAGCACTGCATTTGGCAAGCTGACAGAAACAGATTGACATGCTTTCACAGTCACTACTGACAGACAAATGATGCATGGAAACTTAGGGACTGTTGTGGTTTGGCTTCAAACTAAAGCGTCAACAGAGAGGGGCTTCTGCCTTTCTCACTCTCTGTTTTAGCCTCAGGAAACTCGGCATGCACTTCTGATTTTAAAAGTGAAAGTGGAATAATAAAACCTTTCAGTAAAGGGTAAAGTCATGACATGACCGTCTTTTTGACCGACTTAAGTTTGCCAAATAATCAACAAAAATCTGTCTGAAAGCTTTACAAAAATCTGCTCCACTGCGCAATTAATGCTGCACTTATAGCAGAGTACTCAGATGCATAAGAGTAGATGGTAGCCTCTTTCTCTTGGTACTTTTACTGAACACAGAAAACGAATTAGCATTTCCTTGCAACTTCCCCCTCGCTACATATAGTTTTGAACCCAATAGTCTTGTGTGTTCTGAGTAAACAGCGTTGGGCCTGTCTGTCAGTGTAGCTGTTGCATGTGGCTTTGCTTGTTCTCACACCAGACATGAAAGGGCTTTACAAAGTGATGAGAGGCTAGAAGGACGGGGGTTTTCAGTTGCCTCCCACAATTTCTTCATGCTGTACATTTTTAGACATGTTTTATAAAGTTGTGGTGGCTAAAACACGGACATGCAATGGCTAAGTTGCAGTTCATGTTCAGTATATTAGCAGCTGAACCACTGCCCCTGCCATGTATTTCTTTTATTATCATTTCCTATGTACCACATTTCACTGCAATCCCTAGTGTAGTGATTTCACACAACACAAACATCTTCGACGTACCGATGCACTAGATAAACATTGGGGTATTAAAAAGACTGACTAGGATACATCCTATGGAAACATTTGTCCAGATATTTCACTCTGGATCAATGTGTGGTCTGACCGGCAGACCCTTGCCCAAATTGTGGCTGAAATACACGTTTCATATATACATAACTAACAGCATGGGTTAATGTTGATGGTCAAATGAGTGACATGTTGTGTATTTTAAGAATGATTTGCGAATAGCTTTACCGTATTTATGCCTCAGACTTTGCGCAAAATCTAATCCAACAGTTACACACATATTTAGGTGTAGAATATCACCATTAAAGCTATAACAATTTGTGTCATGTAACCAATGTACTTTTATTTTTAAGAAAAAGGTTATACAATGATTTTAAGCAGATTGGACATCATTTCAAAATGATATATATATACTTTTTCCAAGTTATAACATTTCTCCAATTTCTGAAAGTGAAGCAAGATATTTACAATTGTAAGTGTGATGGAAACTTCTGAAGCAATGGAGACGAAACTCAGAGAGACACTGGGTGAGCTGGATCTTTGATGGCAAACACTGATGGTTTATTATGGAGTTACGGCCGGAGAACTGACAAGACATGTGCTGCCGCCACGAGGTGAAACAGCGGTTGCCAAACCAATTCTGAAGATCTCTACCCCAGACCCATGTATTTAGCTGGTTCTGAGAGAATAATCAATATTGTGCATAATAAGATAAAACAGGCAAAGCACTAAAACACCTCCATCAGCTGACGCCAACAGGCAGGAATAGGGAGACAAAACACTGAGATCACAGCAGCCCAAGGTTGCAGGCCTGTGCTCAGTGAGGGCAGTACAAACTGACTGGGTGAAAGGTATGGGCCTAGGAACATATTTCCCCAACAGTAAGCTTTAATCAGAAAGTCCAGTATATTGTTAGTCCATCACTGAATACATGACATTGGTGTAGATCATCTCTCCCTCTGCTGATTTTTTATTCTTCCTGTCTGCTCTGCCAGTTTTCCTCTTGGTGAAGGTTGGTGCAGAAT